ACATATATATATATATATATATATATACACACATAATTATTACATTACTTCTGTGTTGTTCATTTTCACGGTTTCATGTAAAATAGTATTTTATGAACTTTGTACCAGTAGTAGACTTACACATAATAGACTAATAGATGGACTAATCAAGAAGGCAATTAATCCAGCGCCCTGTTTTTCTCCTCAGATTTAGCAAACAAAAACAAAAAGAAAGCAGTATTTGAATAATAAAAAATGAGTTTTCTATATTTTTGTTCTAAATTCAAATGACAGTTCAGTTTTTAAAATATCCTACTTTAATCTCTCTTGCTTTCTGCTGACTCTTGGTGTGAGCTCCTCACTGAAGCTAACACACTGAAAGGAACAATGGTATATTATGCATGTTTATGTAATATTACAGTTTTACAGTGTCCATTTGTATCAGCAACAATAACAGAACTTTGAGCAAGTTAATCACAAAAAAGTCAGACTAGTCAACAAACATGACAAAAAACAGCAATTTACCCAGACTGCTGGATTTTTACATGAGACACTTTTTCAGAATAACAAGAACTATTTTTCAATAAGGTGCTTCAGTAGCTCTGGTTTCAATACAATGAGATCCTTACAGTTCCTCTATGGAATCATTTTACATCATTTTACATTTTTTATTTTAATACCGTCCTCCACCAGCCCAGCTAAATTTAACATAGTTTTCTCACAACACTCTTTGGACTTCTACACAGAGAAAGTTCATAACAATTCCTCTTTTAAAATCAGGTATTTATTTATGCTGTAAACCTTAAAACAATAACAGGGAAATGAGTGCATGATTTAAATATAATATTTATAATTATTTTGTTGAGTCCAGACACACAAATCTTAACTACCTTATCTGTGTGTTAAGGTAATTTGGTATGAAATATGCTTTTTTTTATATTCCTTATTTTATCTAAACAGATGTTGAAGATACAGAAGGTTGATTTTTTGACTCAGCTGAAATGCTTTGATAAGATACAAAATGCCGTTCTTTGAGAAGGTTTCGTTTTTGTTGGTTTGTTTTCCTTCTAAAAATAAAATAAATTGTACCACAGATGACACAGATGAGCAGTACAGCTGCTAATATTCCCACTATCAATCCAACAGTGCTGAAGCCTTCTTTACTCTCTGGCTGTGGATGCACAGTTGGCGCCTGAAGATCAGACTTGTAAAAAGCTGATGGAAAGGACATAGAAAAAAAATATTACTTCAAACCAGAGTGAGATATCCAACAGGTTTTAACTTGAACTGAACTATGTTCGCTGGTATGGACAAAGTGTTAGAGTTGTACATGACAACCAAATAATAAACATCTCACACCCCTCCAATTAACATGGCAGTCAGTGTAACAGGCAACCAACTTTGAAAATGGAAAGAATACTAAACATCAACTTACCACTGACATTGAGTTGACATTTGGCAGAGTACGCGCAATCATCTGTCAGCACTTTACAAACGTACAGACCCGAGTCATCAGTCCTGAGTCTGGAAAGTTGAAGTCTGATTCGTCCTTCTCTGAGGGCGTCTTTGTCACTCTGGACTCGTCCTGAAAACTTTTCATCCTGACACTTTGACACCTCAACACCTTCACAAACAATATACACAACTTTACGTTTAACTATAGTTATTAGTTCACAGAGGATGTCCATGTTGATCCAGGATGTGCCAAGTTTGGTTGAGAATTCTAGTGTGATGTTGTGGTTCTCCTGTGCCTGATAGGACGTCTGTATCACATTCTGCTCAGGTTGTACTATTGAGAAGACAGAGGTGGAAAAAGCAGTGCACAGGGTGACAATTTAAAAAGGGCTTAAAGTATAATGAAAGGTCTCAGCAGCCCAAATCCAGGTCTTGAGAAATAACCCTTTTCAGTGCAACAGGTGTAACCATAATTTGAAAAACAAATACCAACAATTTCCACCAAATGAGCTTACCAATGTCAGCAAGATCATTTATGTCAGAGCTTTCAGTGTTCCCTTCACACCAGTACAGACCCGAGTCATCACTCCTGTGGCTGCACTGTTTGATTCGTCCTTCTCCGAGGGCGTCTTTGTCACTCTGGACTCCTGGAATCATTTTCTGAGACTCTGAAACCTCAACACCATCATGAACCTGATACAGAGCTGAAATATTATGTTAGGAGTTTTGTTGTAAACATCCACTCCAGTGTGATCTAAAATCTAAGCACCAGTGAAAGGTAGATCCAGAAAGATTAATGTAATAAATTCTGTTAGTGAGGTGAAATTGTGTTAATAAAGTGAAGCCATAAACTAACCATAGATGAACATGGACAGCAGGATCACTGGGTTCATCTTCTCTCTGTTAGGGAAAATATTTGACATGTAACAATTATCAGCGTTTTCAGTAACCACTTTGGTAATCCTTCACTGTTACTTATTAGAAGATTAGTCAGCAGTACATGATGGAGTGTGTGCTTTTGAAATTCGAGAGAAAATAGTTTCACAAGGATAAGTTGTGTAAAATTAAACCAGATTCTGCCCAAACAAATACAAATATATTGTTATGGACATAATTTCATATAAGTGCCAGAAAAGGGAAGTTGCCTCTATGCTTAAATATAATACAAAATTACATCATTTACACAGAAACAACAAAGTGATAAATGCAGAATGACAAAAGCTGAAAACAACAACAAAAACAAAAACAATAACGAAACTAATTAATTCTTTAAACACTGACTCTTTTGATAAAAGTACAATAATTTACAGTATATGTAGTAAAGTTTTTTATGAGCCAGGACATGTAATAATTGAATAAACTGCCTTGTTTTCCCTCCACACTCCAGAATTTCAGTTCCTCTGACAGTCTGCAGGCCACAGACATCACAGTATCACACACATGACTTTGTTACTTTTCAGTTTCTATTTCACTGTGGCATCAAGACAAAGGGTCATCAACCCCAGAAAATCTTTGATAGTATTGCAGAAAAGAATATCTTATTATTAATAATAATAATTACTACTTCTACTAATAAATAAATAAGTAAATAAATAAATAAATACCTCCAGCGTGATGAGTAGCTTGTTTCAACAGAAAAAAGGGAGCAAGTGGAACAACAGAACTTGATGAGAAACAAACAGCTCGACAGTGGGACTTAGATGCACACACCTTTTTTATATAAGGGAAAGGGGTTGGTGCTTCAGTCACAAGCAAAACACAAATTTTCACACCCAGTGGGAGTGGCCAGTCTCACAGATATTGCTGTGTTTCAGTAATGAGCTTCTACAAACCACATCTGATACGTCACATTAGTTGACCATACCTGACTAACCAGACGTTTAATTCTCACAATATTTCTTTTTTATTTTAAATCCAAGTAAAGGGCAGTTTTCTTTCCTTCCTGTATCAAACCTAACTGTAGTAGTAGTAGCAGTATTTCCATAGGGGCGTTTCTGGTTTAAGATTTAAAGAGACATGTTTTTTGTTCGTGTTTTACACAAAACAGAAGCGCTCTTGTATTAAATGGCACAAATATATAAAATAAAAAAGGTATGATAGCATGCACAGAACAGATTTCTTCTGCTTCATCTGTCTTTTCATCACTGTAACAAGCACATTTTATTTAATTTCATTTGTTTATTTTTCTCATGTCGACTAAGCGTGATCTGCATGTCTGATCCCGCTCTTCTTCCAAGCGCTTAGAAAAGCAGTCAGGTAAGAGGGCGACCGAAGTAAAGCGCAAAACTTTTTTCAGGGGGGAGGGAAGAGGTTTTTTTTTTTGTGATCAGCTGCACTACCTCATCTAATCAGAAACTCCACTTTTGGTTTAAAACTATGCGTTGTTATCCTTTAGACAGAAAACATTGCTGTGAATATGAAAGCAAAATGCACCTACAGCATTAATGGTTAGTGATTTCAAAGAATTTTTAAATAAGCATATATGAATGTCACTTTAACTATTGTGTTTAAGTGAAAATGAGAATGGGTCTTATTATACAATGTACCCAATGTAATATCAAAATATGTTTACCCTTTATTCAAAATGTCACGCTCTCTGGTTCATCTGTATTTAATTATGCTTAAAGTATCAGAGTGAAATTTAAAACTAAACTACCTTTGCACTGTATCCACACACCTGATAGTGGACATATTTCACAAAAAAAGGATAATAATATTTAATGTGTTTAATCACGATCCTATCAACCTACAGACTTTCAAATTTGATCTATAATTAGTAAAGCATAATTAAACACTGTATAACATGACAGTGACATTACAGATTTCTAATAAAAGTAAAAAGAGAGTGAAATAAAAAACAGTTTCAGCAGTTTTAAATGTTCTGAGATAAAGTTTACATTCCCAGCACAAATTCTTGTAAACATCACGTTGAAACACCAAAACATGTTTGACTTACTGAACTGAGATCATCACATGACTCAGGGCATGGCACAAGCTTTTTGCGTGACTTTTAAGTATGCTTCCTCTTTAACAAATTAAGGTCTAACTTTATTTGTCATGACTCAAAACATTGCTGTTTGCTTCTCAGTTCCTCCAGATTCTTGGCTGTCCTCTGCTCACTTCCTAGATCCAGTCTGTTTCGCTGTTGTTGTTTTAAATAAATCCCCTCAGGCCTGTCTTCTTCTACGTGTCTGCCAGCTGTCCTCACACTTTTCCTCCTCCTGCTCACAGCTGACACCAGTCTAAACTCTACTTGTTATGTCTCATCTCAGTCACCTATAAGCTCTATTTACCTTCATTTAATTCTCTATACAACTTCTAAGTTTAAACATTATTTCATCTCCTTTTCTGTTACCAAAATGATCTCTTTAATGTTTCTCTGACGTTCACACTTTCAATCTGTGTTTCTTCACATCTGTGTTTAATTCTGAGCCTCATTCTGCGAGTCATTCCTTCTCTTTGTGTGACATAAATCATTAAACAGACCTTTCTCTCTGATGTCTACATTTGGTCCTCTGTGTTCATGTAATTGTGTTAACATCAGCTGTGACACTTAAAACCAAGAGTCACAATTCATAATGTTGCCTCTGAACTGCTTGGAGATACATCTCTGATACTTATTGTGAAGCATTAAAGCAGGGGTAGGCAACTCCAGGCCTCGGGTGCCGGTGTCCTGCAGGTTTTAGATGTGTCCTTGATCAAACACAGCTGATTCAAATGGTTAAATTACCTCCTCAACATGTCTTGAAGTTCTCCAGGGGGCTGGTAATGAACTAATCATTTGATTCAGGTGTGTTGACCCAGGGTGAGATCTAAAACCTGCAGGACACCGGCACTCGGGGCCTGGCGTTGCCTACCCCTGCATTAAAGGAAGTCCTCATATATCCACTTCATGTATAAGTCAGTGGAACCTGTAGAAACTCACAAAGATACAGTTAGCTGTTAATATTGTGGTGTTTGCTGAATGTCACCACATTTTGTCTGTTGTTCACTGCAGCGCAGATGATTTACAGTGTGTTGCTTTGTAGTTCTGATGTCCATGTTTGGCAGAGGTCCTTGAAGGCAACAAACACAAGTATAGTTGAGACTGTACACGAGCACAAAGAAACACTTGCCTTTAAGCTGCAAAACCCAGTGTCAATGCAGAGGTTTGTCACTAAAACAAAAAAAAACAATCTAGCAGGACATTTAAATCATCCTCCAAAGTTTAAAATGTTTCTGTCTAAATCAGTGACTGTAGAAAAGATGTTTTCAGTAGTAAACGATGGAATTTGTACAAGTCAGTGCTAGAACAGGAACAAACTCAGCAGTTTAATCCAAAAATCAAAGCTTTTAGGATATACAAAACAAACTTGGAATCTTATTTAATATAAAAGATATGAACTACTGTAAGAAGAATAAAAAAGTCCAAAGTAGTTCTGCTTTGAACAGTGATCAGCAGCTCAGGTTAAACAGTCCTGTTACATCATGGAGATCTAGACAGTAAACTTTCCTTCAGAGTTTCAGAGCAGCATGAAAATAAAACTGCAGACACTGAATGTGGAGTTGAGATTTATCAAACACAGTAAACAATGAGTCCTCTTTACTGTGGTTGGATTATTTCTGTGAGCAATCACTGATTAGACACTACATGACTAATGAGATTTATCATTCTCACAATATTTCTACTGACTAGAATTAAGTTTGAACTGAACTTAAGCTGTGGCAAACAGATTTTTTATTCTTGTGGACTACACATGATCTGTGTGTCTGCCTGTGTTTGATCACGCTTTTCTGCCAAACACAAAAATTCGGTCAAGTGAGAGGGCGACAGAAGTAAAGCGCAAATGTTTTGTCAGTTGAGCAGAAAGTGCTCTCTCAGCACTTTTCTGATCAGCTGCACTCACTCAGCTGATCAGAAAGTCAGCGTTTGGTTTGAGAACATGTGTTACAGGCCCCACTATGATGGGCGCGTAGCCAGATTACGATCCTGTAAAACAGGAGAGAAAGTGAACACAGGAGACACGCTGCTGTTCGCCTGGTCAGTCTTGCCAGAATGGAAAACTTATGGCAGCTATGCACCCGACTCAGTTCCCAAAGCACGCTGCTGCCCCCTACTGTCCAAAGTGTTATACACTCTCCTGGCAACAGGGAACTTACATGACATTGTGGATTTAAATTATACCAATAAACCAGCAAAATAAAACATGCATAATAATCTCCATATATCACGACACTTAACTCACAATTGTGACCACATTTCTGTGTGGATCACATGCTTTGTTGGGATTTCGATAGAAAACATTACAGTGAATGCGAAAAGAAAATGCACCTACAGCAATAATAATTAGAAATTTCAGAGGATTTTTAACCCGTTCACGCATACTGGTCACCATAGTGGACAGCAATTCAAAGGCTGTTTTCTTGTATTTGTGTCAGTGTTGATGGTATACTTGCACATAAACCACTACATTGGACGCTGATGTGTCACTCCATACCCTGCCACCCACTGGTCAACCAGTGGATGGCAGGGTTATATTTTTCATACTTGTTACATACATTGTTATAGTGTTATACAATTTATTTTAAATATATATTTTGTTATGTTATAGTTTTTACATAGTGTATATTATTTATTCATTTGTCAAATTCATTAGTCAAAACGTATGTTGTCGTCCTAAGTGGACATGTAAAAACACTCTTTGAAAAGTACATGTTTAAAAAAATGTGTCAGGGCTCTGTGTGCAGGCAGATGGAGATGAGGATCCAAACGCAGGACTCGGAGACTGAGTACAACTCAAAACCTCAGCTTTATTGCTGGTAAAGAAATAAAACAAAACAAAACAAGAACTGAACAATGAATACTGAACACTGAGAACCAAAACACACAGGCACAATCTGAGGGTACGACGCAACACTGACACAGCGAAACACGGGGCCTTAAATACACTGGGGCATAATCAGAGAATGGAAAACAGGAGGGAGACACAGCTGGGAGAGATTAGGGCTAACGAGCCAGGGGGAGCGAAGCAAGACACACTGGCTGTGTCCCAATCCGAAGTGTACTCCAAATGCGCCTTCGATTTCCCCAAATTTGAAGTGTGGTCCGGTGTACACTTCGTGGTCCCATATATCCCACAATTCATAGCGCAGCGGTGGGTGTGGATAATTTTGCCGAAAAATATGGCAGACAGCTGAAGCGGAGCGGCCGAAGAGTAAACTTTCAAAAGTAAGTACTGAATATGATGTCACTTATTTATGTGCGAATGTTTAATAATGAAGAACATTAAAACATTACTGTTGGCCACATGTTGGCAAAGTTATGTGACATTAGCGATGTTTGTACTAACTTGGTTTTAAAGCCTTTACTTTAAAATATACACCATTCAGTAGCCGACCTTAATCTTACAGAGAATGTGATGATTTTATGGATAATGAAAAGTCAGTCATATATTTGCAAACCGAGCAGTGAATGCTGCTTGGTTTGCAGTCCTGAATATGACGGCACAGGCAGGATTCACTGCACTGTTAATGTTAGCTATGTTATATTGCTGCTTCTGTTCGGTGGTGTCGAGCCAAACAGCTATTACTGCCAGCCCGTCCGGCACGCCATTCAGCAGCCGTTCTCGGCATGCAGCCGTCTTGTCTGCCATTTGCATTGCCTGGAACTCCTCTCTCCGCTCTATTCAACAAGACAGCGGCTCCAGTCACTC